AGTAAATCAGCAAAAGAAACTTTCATTTAGCAGAAACTCACTTATTGCTGTTTTGCATTGCCATTGTTTTATTATTCTTACTAGTTTTAAAAATGTTAACACATTAGCATTATTTTGTTAATAGCCAGAGCTTGATGTTTAAGTTTTACTTTCATTATGGTCTGTAGTTTGGGTTTTGCATTGGATTGTTTTGTTATTATTTTAATAGCCAGAGTTTTGTTCTTGATGCTGAAGTATTACTTTCATTATGGTAGCTTTTTGATCTTGATGCTTAAGCTTTACTGTCATTATGGTAGCTTTTTGTTCTTGATGCTTAAGTTAAACTTTCATTATAGTAGCATAAAAGTAAAAGAAGGGTGACATGTGGGGAGCCTCTATAGGGTTAAACCTCGGACTGACCTGTTGGCAAAGTCACAAACAAGTCCCAGCTTAGAGGGCACAGTCCTCTTAAGCATAATTAGGCTTGACCTTATGAAGCTCCCTAGATCTTACCTGGGAAGCTAATGGGCTGAGGGAAGTGCAACAAGAACAAAAAACAAGTGAAACTCACAAGAACAGTGTAACTTTGGTAATCACTACCTTGTTTACCTCTGATTATAAAAATAAAGGCTCAACTTGCCTCAGGATCTTTCTCTGTGGCCTCAGCCAGGCACAGGGAGATCCATGAAGACTAAAGAGAGCTAGAGAGTTCTGAATGCTGTCTCCGTGTAAAACATTCTTCGCCGACTCTGTCCACACCTTTGGAAACCCCTGGACCGCTGGGGCTGGACCGGGCATCTAGACACTTTTTCTTCTATCAATAATTAGAGTCTATTTAATTTTGAACAGGTTTGTGAAAAATTTAACCAATAGCTAACTCTCCCACTTTCTCTACTCTATACAGAATAGGTAGTGAATAGGTGGGCATCAGTGTGTAATCCACCACATTGGGGGATTTTATGTCTAAACACAGGAGTAAGACACACTGCCATTGAACTAGAAGAATCTTAAGCCTCAATTTAGACTGATTTCTTTCTTTGTAGTTTTATTTATTTTATCTTATTGAATTTATTGAGGTGACATTGGTTAACGAAATTACACAGCTCTCAGGTATACAGTGCTGCAGTGCATCATCTGTATATTGAATTGTGTGTTCACCACCCCAAGTCAAGTCTCCTTCCATCACCATTTCCTCCCCCTTTGCCCTGTTGTACCTCCCCTATTCCATCTTCCTGCTGTTAATCACAATACTGCTGTCTGTGTCTGTGTATGAGAGCTTTATTTCCTCTTTGCTTAATTTCCTTACCCTTATCAACTAGTCCCTCAACCCCAACTCCCATCTGACAGCTGTCTGTCTGTTCTCTGAATCTATGGGTCAATTCCTATTTTGTTTGTTAGTTTATTTTGTTCATTACAGTTTTCTATAGGGGGTTTAGGGATTGAGGGGATTAAAGTGCAAAAAGAGAGGAACATATGTAATACTTTGAACAATAAAATACTTTTTTTTTTAAATGGCATGAAATCAAGGCAGGGCTCCCAGGCCTTGGTGTGTGTTCAGAGAAACAGGAGCTCTGAGCACAGACTCCTGGTGTCCTAATCCCAGCAATGGCAGTCCTTACCGTTCGCATCAGGACCAATTCTCAGTGCAGAGCTACAGGCTCCCGGGGGCTTATTCTGTGCGGCGAATCCTGAAGAACCTTCAAGACTTCTCACTGCAGAGCTACAGGATCCTGGGAGTTTATTCTGTGCAGCAAATCCCGAAGACACTTCAGAACTTCTCACTGCAGAGCTACAGGGTCCCGGGGGCTTAGCCTGTGCACTGAATCCTGAAAACACTTTAGGGTTTCTCACTGCAGAGCTACAGGGTCCCGTGGGCTTATTCTGTGCACTGAATCCAGAAGACACTTCAGGGTTTCTCACTGCAGAGCTACAGGGTCCTGGGGCCTTACACTGTGCACTGAATCCGGAAGACAACTCAGGGTTTCTGACTACAGAGCTACAGGGTCCTGGAGGCTTATTCTGTGCACTGAATCCAGAAGACACTTCAGGGTTTCTCACTGCAGAGTTACAGGGTCCTGGGGGTTTACTCTGTGCACTGAATCCTGAAGACACTTCAGGGTTTCTCTCTGCAGAGCTACAGGGTCCTGGGGGTTTACTCTGGGCACTGAATCCTAAAGACACTTCAGGGTTTCTCACTGCAGAGTTACAGGGTCCTGGGGGTTTACTCTGTGCACTGAATCCTGAAGACACTTCAGGGTTTCTCTCTGCAGAGCTACAGGGTCCTGGGGGTTTACTCTGGGCACTGAATCCTAAAGACACTTCAGGGTTTCTCACTGCAGAGTTACAGGGTCCTGGGGGTTTACTCTGTGCACTGAATCCTGAAGACACTTCAGGGTTTCTCTCTGCAGAGCTACAGGGTCCTGGGGGTTTACTCTGGGCACTGAATCCTAAAGACACTTCAGGGTTTCTCACTGCAGAGTTACAGGGTCCTGGGGGTTTACTCTGTGCACTGAATCCTGAAGACACTTCAGGGTTTCTCTCTGCAGAGCTACAGGGTCCTGGGGGTTTACTCTGGGCACTGAATCCTAAAGACACTTCAGGGTTTCTCACTGCAGAGTTACAGGGTCCTGGGGGTTTACTCTGTGCACTGAATCCTGAAGACACTTCAGGGTTTCTCTCTGCAGAGCTACAGGGTCCTGGGGGTTTACTCTGGGCACTGAATCCTAAAGACACTTCAGGGTTTCTCACTGCAGAGTTACAGGGTCCTGGGGGTTTACTCTGTGCACTGAATCCTGAAGACACTTCAGGGTTTCTCTCTGCAGAGCTACAGGGTCCTGGGGGTTTACTCTGGGCACTGAATCCTAAAGACACTTCAGGGTTTCTCACTGCAGAGTTACAGGGTCCTGGGGGTTTACTCTGTGCACTGAATCCTGAAGACACTTCAGGGTTTCTCTCTGCAGAGCTACAGGGTCCTGGGGGTTTACTCTGGGCACTGAATCCTAAAGACACTTCAGGGTTTCTCACTGCAGAGTTACAGGGTCCTGGGGGTTTACTCTGTGCACTGAATCCTGAAGACACTTCAGGGTTTCTCTCTGCAGAGCTACAGGGTCCTGGGGGTTTACTCTGGGCACTGAATCCTAAAGACACTTCAGGGTTTCTCACTGCAGAGTTACAGGGTCCTGGGGGTTTACTCTGTGCACTGAATCCTGAAGACACTTCAGGGTTTCTCTCTGCAGAGCTACAGGGTCCTGGGGGTTTACTCTGGGCACTGAATCCTAAAGACACTTCAGGGTTTCTCACTGCAGAGTTACAGGGTCCTGGGGGTTTACTCTGTGCACTGAATCCTGAAGACACTTCAGGGTTTCTCTCTGCAGAGCTACAGGGTCCTGGGGGTTTACTCTGGGCACTGAATCCTAAAGACACTTCAGGGTTTCTCACTGCAGAGTTACAGGGTCCTGGGGGTTTACTCTGTGCACTGAATCCTGAAGACACTTCAGGGTTTCTCTCTGCAGAGCTACAGGGTCCTGGGGGTTTACTCTGGGCACTGAATCCTAAAGACACTTCAGGGTTTCTCACTGCAGAGTTACAGGGTCCTGGGGGTTTACTCTGTGCACTGAATCCTGAAGACACTTCAGGGTTTCTCTCTGCAGAGCTACAGGGTCCTGGGGGTTTACTCTGGGCACTGAATCCTAAAGACACTTCAGGGTTTCTCACTGCAGAGTTACAGGGTCCTGGGGGTTTACTCTGTGCACTGAATCCTGAAGACACTTCAGGGTTTCTCTCTGCAGAGCTACAGGGTCCTGGGGGTTTACTCTGGGCACTGAATCCTAAAGACACTTCAGGGTTTCTCACTGCAGAGTTACAGGGTCCTGGGGGTTTACTCTGTGCACTGAATCCTGAAGACACTTCAGGGTTTCTCTCTGCAGAGCTACAGGGTCCTGGGGGTTTACTCTGGGCACTGAATCCTAAAGACACTTCAGGGTTTCTCACTGCAGAGTTACAGGGTCCTGGGGGTTTACTCTGTGCACTGAATCCTGAAGACACTTCAGGGTTTCTCTCTGCAGAGCTACAGGGTCCTGGGGGTTTACTCTGGGCACTGAATCCTAAAGACACTTCAGGGTTTCTCACTGCAGAGTTACAGGGTCCTGGGGGTTTACTCTGTGCACTGAATCCTGAAGACACTTCAGGGTTTCTCTCTGCAGAGCTACAGGGTCCTGGGGGTTTACTCTGGGCACTGAATCCTAAAGACACTTCAGGGTTTCTCACTGCAGAGTTACAGGGTCCTGGGGGTTTACTCTGTGCACTGAATCCTGAAGACACTTCAGGGTTTCTCTCTGCAGAGCTACAGGGTCCTGGGGGTTTACTCTGGGCACTGAATCCTAAAGACACTTCAGGGTTTCTCACTGCAGAGTTACAGGGTCCTGGGGGTTTACTCTGTGCACTGAATCCTGAAGACACTTCAGGGTTTCTCTCTGCAGAGCTACAGGGTCCTGGGGGTTTACTCTGGGCACTGAATCCTAAAGACACTTCAGGGTTTCTCACTGCAGAGTTACAGGGTCCTGGGGGTTTACTCTGTGCACTGAATCCTGAAGACACTTCAGGGTTTCTCTCTGCAGAGCTACAGGGTCCTGGGGGTTTACTCTGGGCACTGAATCCTAAAGACACTTCAGGGTTTCTCACTGCAGAGTTACAGGGTCCTGGGGGTTTACTCTGTGCACTGAATCCTGAAGACACTTCAGGGTTTCTCTCTGCAGAGCTACAGGGTCCTGGGGGTTTACTCTGGGCACTGAATCCTAAAGACACTTCAGGGTTTCTCACTGCAGAGCTACAGGGTCCTGGGGGCTTAGTCTGTGCACTGAATCCTGAAGACACTTCAGGATTTCTCACTGCAGAGCTACAGGATCCTGGGGGCTTACTCTGTGCACTGAATCCAGAAGACACTTCAGGGTTTCTCTCTGCAGAGCTACAGGGTCCTGGAGGCTTAGTCTGTGCACTGAATCCTGAAGACTCTTCAGTGTTTCTGCCTGCAGAGCTACAGGGTCCTGGAGGCTTAGTCTGTGCACTGAATCCTGAAGACTCTTCAGTGTTTCTGCCTGCAGAGCTACAGGGTCCTGGAGGCTTAGTCTGTGCACTGAATCCTGAAGACTCTTCAGTGTTTCTGCCTGCAGAGCTACAGGGTCCTGGAGGCTTAGTCTGTGCACTGAATCCTGAAGACTCTTCAGTGTTTCTGCCTGCAGAGCTACAGGGTCCTGGGGGCTTAGCCTGTGCACTGAATCCTGAAAACACTTCAGGGTTTCTAACTGCAGAGCTACAGGTTACTAGAGGCTTCTTTTCTGGACTGAATCCTGAAGACTCTTCAAAACTTCTCCCTGCAGAAGGAGCAAATGTTTCTTAAAGATCTCATTGTAGGACATAGTAATTGAAAGAGTAAAAAGTGTGGGAAGCTCTGAAAACCCAGGTGTAGAATATTTTTCTCTCAGACCTACATGATCTGCCTTTTGCACTCTTGCGACCTGTAGGTCAATATTTTATCCCTCACTGTCCCCTGAGCCCGAACCAAGATATTTCACTCTCACTGGGCTTCTCTGATTTCTTTTTTTTTAAAAAAATTTTCTTATTGAGTTTAGAGAGTGTGTGTGTGGGAGAGGGAAGAAAAATCTATGAGAGAAGAAGGTCATGGATCAGCTGCCTCCTAAACACAATCTTATTCTGGACAAAATCTGCAACCCTTGGCAAGTGCCCCGATGGGAAATCAAACCAGAGATTTCTGCGTGCATGGCAGGCTGCTAAGCCAACTGAGCCACAACACCCAGGTTTCTCTCTGTGTGTTTTTTGGCACTCTGTATTTTGCACTACATTCTCCTTCTTGTTTTACATGTAGCTTATGGATTTGTGTTCATGCCTGTAATTATATTATATTTTAGTTCTGCTTCTTTCCAAAGGTGGTCTTAGAAATCTGGTATTGAAGATGGCAGATCAGTCATTTCTATGCTTCCCAGAATGACTTTGTGAAATAGAGTCCCTCCCCCATTTTAAAACCCTTTGGAATATTTGCTTAAGAAAAAATTTTGAAATTGTATTGTGTTTGAGTGACTGAACTTTTAGGTTTATTTGTCATAGCCATTAGCCTAAATAACACAAAAGTTAAAATATGAACTATCATAAATTAAAGCAGATTTGTTTTTTACTATAAGGGAAGGAGCAAAAAATTAAAATGAATCTTTTGAATAAAAAAACAAAAACACTTGTTCATTTATAACCTTGAAAAGTTCTTATTTGCTTGCTCTTACCCGTTGTGCAAAGTATTTGTCCAGATGTAGGTGAATTTCTGAAATCCATGGACTCTATAAAGTAAAAGAGAGAGAACAGTAGTTGTTTGCAGTGGTCTTACAGTCTATGATAACTCACACAGCAGACAGGGTTTGTGATAATGTCAATGTTGAGATGGTCATATTCCTATTTCTCTCACTTGAACCCAGTTCTGGTGCTCCCATGAGCACCATAATGCTGGGCTCCTGCCTGGTGCCCATTTACTTTCCATGTGAATTTGTAAATGACTCTCAAATATTATCATCTCCTACACTACAATGATGGGTTAACCTACTTACTCTATCTCCCTGTTAAGGTTTTAGTGAAAGAAGTGAAATTTAATTCACAAAAGCATGTGAAAAATCAAAATGTAAGTCAATCGTTTAAGTATCATTTGACTTTGAAAGTAGTTGGTCTAAACCATTTTTCTCATTAATAATTAATATTAGCACAAAATGTACTTTGAAGACATTCAAAGGTTTCTTTCTATTAATGACACTATTGTCAACACTTAGTGAAATATTGTGCTCGCTCTGCTTTATAGAATATAAAATCTTTAGCATTAACATATGATAGTGTGTAGTAAAAAAGACTGTTATTTGCTAGTATATTATTGCTACATTTTCAATATATCAATTGATTATGCTCATCTAATCAAACCACCATTTAGAAAAGTGATGGCAAACCTTTTGAGCTCGGCATGTCAGCATTTTGAAAAACCCTAACTTAACTCTGGTGCCGTGTCACATATAGAAATTTTTTTATATTTGCAACCATAGTAAAACAAAGAATTATATTTTTGATATTTATTTTATACTAGAGGCCTGGTACACAAAAATTTATGCACTCGAGGGGGTGGCCCTCAGCCTGGCCTGTGCCCTCTCGCAGTCTGGGACCCCTCAAGGGATATCCACCTGCTGGCATAGGCCCACTCTCCAGGGGATTGGGCCTAAGCTGGCAGTCAGACATCCTTCTGGAAGCCTGGGAGCCCTCGGAGGATGTACACTTGCCAGTGGGGACCAGGCCTAAGCTGCAGCCGGACATCCTTAGTGCTGCTGAGGAGGCGAGAGAGGCTCCCGCCATCACTGCTGTGCTGGCAGCCATCAGCCTGGCTTGTGGCTGAGCAGAGCTCCCCTTGTGGGAGCACACTGACCACTGGAGGCAGCTCCTGCATTGAGTGTCTGCCCTCTGGTGGTCAGTGTGTGTCATAGTGACCAGTAATTCCCAGCCATTCTGCTGTTAGGGTCAATTTGCATATTATCCTTTTATTATATAGGATATTTTAATGCCATTTAACAAAGAAAAATCAACCAAAAAAATGAGTTTGCGTGTCATAGGTTCACCATCACTGATTTAGAATGATCCTTGCCTCCTCTTATTTAGCAATACAATTGCTAAAGCTACATGTTTAAAATGATATACCCAAAGCAATGAATCAATGAATATAAAGAACTTCAGAATGAGATTCATCATGAAAACAGAGCTCAGGATTTAGACTCCAGATATTTGTCCAGAAATACAATCTTATCTGATACAGTTTAGAGTCATGAACAGGTGGCTTCTTGGGACTCTCTTCCTTTATTTGAGTCTAAGGAATCTAGTTTATTGATCACTGCACAAGCAATAGGATTCTTAGATGAATCAGTGTGTGCCTAGGAAATTGATGTAGCACAGAATAGCCTCATACAACTTGAAAAATCTTGAAAACACATGTATGCCATGGCCTGCACACAGGTTACCTGGTCTGTCCCTTTAAGTCACCTGCTGTGTAGGTTAGTGATGCTACATTCTCTGTCCCCAGCAGAGACAAGTCAATGGCAAAGAGCACAAGTGCTCTGTTTGAACCTTACCTTTCTACGCTTCTCTCTGTTCTATCTCTAATCCTTCTATTGCCATTTCACACTTCCTTGATCTGCTGTTTCTTTGTGGGGAGACCTTGGAAATCTCATGTTGAGAAACTTGTTGGTAAGGAGCCTCTTCTACTCCCTGGTGCCCCGTGAAATAATCTCTGGTGTCTGAGTCATAGCCCTATTTCGCAACAACTTTTCAGAGGACGTTGCCTACACTAAGCCAAAGTCACATGGTGTACTCTCTTTAACTGAAGGAAACTTGTGTTTTTCACTGATAGATATTGAGAACTATTAGAATAAAAGTATTATTTACAATATTGTCTTATTGTAATATCAAGACTAGGTAACATCTTTATTTATGTTTTTCTCTTTTCCTAGTGGGTTTACCTCAAAAGACATGTTTCTAATACCTCTGGGAAAGTAAGAAGGGAAAAGCAATCACCACTTGGTACACTAAATTGCTTTAGATATTGTGACCATTGATGCTACACACAGGATTGATGAAACAACACTTTGATAACTGTTTTGAGATCCAGAATTACAAAGGAAATAACATGGAATCCAGGAAGCTAGTCTTGTCTTTCCCTTTACCTCCATGAGACTCTGGGGGAAGAATTGAAATATTTATGTGATTTTGTTTTCTTATCTTGAAACAAGAACAATAATGGCCATCTTTCTCACTCCTCGGGGTTGTTGTAAAGGAAAGGTAAGACATTATTTGCAAAGATCCTTTGAAAAGTCATTCTATATGTCATGACTTGTGGAGAATGCTCTTAAAAACCACATTTTGGGTTTCAAAACACCTTACCATTTCTCCTAACACAGGAGCTTGAGGATTTGACCCTCAACACTATTCAAACTTTGTGATTAGATGACAATATGACCTTCCAATAAAGAAATATTTAGCCTTCTCTTCTCTGTAGAAATCACTGTATAAACCCAACACTTTATAATCACAGAATTAGTTTTAAAATAATTTAACAACTTTGCGAGCCTATTACTAGTATATAATCAATAGATGGGTGCATTGGTTGATTTATAGGACCTATGGATTAATAGGACACATATTTTAAAAATATAAATATAATGATTTATTACCTTGCACATCCTAAAAGGTTAGGTAAAATAAATACAGGGAATGGGATTCCAGGATAAACTGGGTTCGTGGTATAGGATAAATTCAGAATTGATACATCAGGAAACAGTGGCTCTTAATTGAGGTTCCTGCACCCCAAGCCTTGAGCTCCCACCTCCTTACCTGGCTCCCTTTTCAATGCTGTGGTGGAAGTTTCAGGTGGTCCATCTCCATCAGTTAATTCTGCAAAGTCCTGACTGTCGATCACTGCACAAAGGAGAAAAAAGCACGCAGTGTCTGTGATGGGGCCACGGGGATCATTGAGTGGAAACCCCTTCATGGGAGCAGTAGGAAGACATAGAAGCTAAGTTAAGTCAGGGCCCTCTGGTGTGTGGCCGATGTGTGTGAGCTTCGGGTTGTTCCAGGCCCTACCCGGAAGGTTGTGAAGTTCATGCACAGAGTGCAGCTTTGCTCAACCTGAAGCACACTTCTATGCCCACCCTCACTATACCTGCTATCCCCATGCCCATTCTATTTCAACTCCCATCTTCACTCTGTCTCTTACCTCTACTCTCTGATATCTCCACCCTCATTCTATCTCTTTCTTTCTTTGATTCATTCCAAACATATCTAAATATTTATTAAGCTAGATAGAGGGATCAAAGGGAAGTGTACCTACGTAAAGCCTATCTCTTCAAAATGGCATCAAATTATATATTATTAATATTTAATGTATTTGTTATTTTTATGTTTAATTCAATTTATTGAGAGAACATTGGTTCATAGAACTGTACAGGATTCAGGTGTACAACTGAATAAGACATCATTTGTACACTGCATCAATCACCCATCACCCCAAATGAAGTCTCCTGGTACAGCTCATTTTTGGATGTTATGTTTCTTTCTGGCAAAAGTGTCTCTCTTTTCCTCTCCTTCTCTTCTCCTGTGGGTTTTTCTTATCTCCTTTCATAAATATCTTGATTTTCTGAAAATTTTCTCTACCCTATACCTTCCTCTCTTTGAATATAGAAACATACACCCTGATATCAACACTTAAATTTACCATTTCTGTTTTTGATATTTTTTCAAATTACTGGGGACGTGTTTCTGTTGACCTCGCTGCATAAGGCCCTTGTTCCCTCCCTCTTCTACCTTAAACCAAGGCCACCATTACTATCTCCAAGAGCCCCGATGAAATGGCTCAGACTCTTGCCTGGTACGGGGATTCACATCACACATTTTTTCAGTCAGCCTTACCTATTACGTCAGAGGCCTCATTACAGTCAGTCCTTGCTTGGGCTTCACATTCAACTCCTGAATGTAAAAATGGTTTTTCCTTCTTTATATCCACTGTGTGTACAGAGCAGGAGTTGTTTTGGTTTCCTTGGTGGAGTAGCTCTGCTCCTGGACAGAATTGCAATAAATGAAGAATTTCATTTGCCTCCCCTAAGGGATTAAGCACCCTGAAACAATCAACAAGCCCTTCTCCCTGTAATTCCACTTCAGGGGAAAGCTCCCCCATCTGTTGCTCAACCCTGTCCTTTCTCTGTGCCTCTCTTAAAAACACAACAACATATTTTTATTGAGAGAGAGAGAGAGAGAGTGAGAGAGAGAGAGAGAGAATAGAGATACATAAACATCAATGAGAGAGGAAGATCATTGATCAGCTGCCTCCTGCACACACCCCTGCTGGGCATGGACACACAACCCTGGCATGTGCCCTGATGGGGAATCAAACCAGCGACCTCTGGGTGCATGGGAGGATGCTCAACCAACTGAGCCACTCTGGCCAGAGTTTCTCTGTTTTCTTTTGGCCCCTTTACTATGTACTACATTCAATTTCTTCTTTTGCATGTAGCTTATAAATTCGTGTTCATGTCTGTAATTATATTATACTAGAGGCCCAGTGCACAAAAAAATTTGTGCACTCGGGGGGGGGGGGTCCCTCAGCCTGGCCTGTGCCCTCCGCAGTCTGGGACCCCTCGGGGGATGTCCACCTGCTGGCTTACCCTGCTCCCTGGGGGATTGGGCCTAAGCTGGATGTCAGACATCCCTCTGACAGCACAGGAGCCCTTGGGGGATGTCCACTTGCCAGCAGGGAGCAGGCCTAGCTGCAGTCAGACATCCTTAGTGCTGCTGATGAGGCGAGAGAGGCTCCCGCCACCACTGCGGTACTCGCAGCTGTCAGCCTGGCTTGTGGCTGAGCAGAGCTCCCCCTGTGGGAGCGCACTGACCACCAGGGGGCAGTTCCTGCATTGAGCGTCTGCCCCCTGGTGGTCAGTGTGTGTCATAGTGACCAGTCATTCCCAGTTGGTCAGCTGTTAGGGTCAATTTGCATATTACCCTTTTATTATATAGGGTTTTAGCTCTGCTTTTTTCCCCAAGATGGTCTTAGAAATCTGGTATTGTAGAAGGCATATCTCTCATTTGTGTGCTTCCCACAATGACTTTGTGTAATAAAGTTCCTGTCTCCCCCCAACGCCCCTTTTCTAAAACTGCTTGGGAAGTTTACTGGATAAAAATATTGAAATTGTATTGTGTTTGAGTGATTGTCCTCTTTAGGTTATTTGTCACAGCCATTAACCTACCTAATACAAAAGTTAAAATATGAACTATCTTATATGAAAACAAATTTGTATTTTACTATAACTGAAGTATCAAAAATTAGAATGAATCTTTTCTGGTAAACACTATTTGTTTGTCACCATGAAAAGTTCTTATTTGCTTGCTCTTAGCTGTTTTGCAAAGTATTTGTCCAGATGTAGGTGATTTTCTGAAACTCATGGACTCTATAAAGTAAAAGGGAGAGAACAATATTTGTTTGCAGTGGTCTTACAGAGTCTATGACAGGGGTGGGCAAACTTTTTGACTCGAGGGCCACAATGGGTTCTTAAACTGGACCGGAGGGCCAGAACAAAAGCATGGAAGGAGTGTTTGTGTGAACTAATATAAATTCAAAGTAAACATCATTACATAAAAGGGTACGGTCTTTTTTTTTTTTTTTTTTAGTTTTATTCATTTCAAACGGGCCGGATCCGGCCCGCGGGCCGTAGTTTGCCCACGGCTGGTCTATGACAACGCACACAGATGAGAGAGAAACATCCAATGTCAATGTTGAGATGATCGTATTTCTTTTTCTCTCACTTGAACCCAGGGCTGGTGCTCCCCTGAGCACCATAATGCTGGGCTCCTGCCTGCTGCTCCCACTTACTTTCCATGTGAATTTATAAATGACCTTCAAACATTATCATCTCCAGTTTCTTCCACTATGAATGCTGGGAAAACCTATTTACCCTATCTCTCTGTACAGTTTATGTGAAAAGAAATGAACTTTTATTCACAAAAGCCCTGTGACAAATCAAAATGTAAGTCAAACGTTTAAGAATCATTTACGTTTCAAAGTAGTTGGTCGAAACCACTTTTTCCAGAAGTAATTAATGTTAGCAAAAAAAATTTTTTTTTAACAAGAGGAAGGGAGAGGGATAGAGAGTTGGAAACATCGATGAGAGAGAAACATCCATCAGCTGCCTCCTTCACACCTCCTACTGGGGATGTGCTGGCAACCAAATTACATGCCCTTGACCAGAATCGAATTCTGGGATCTCTAGGTCGGCAGGCTGACGCTCTATCCACTGAGCCAAACCAGTTCGGTATCAAATTATACTTTTAAGACGATCTAGCATGACTAGTTCAGCTCAGTGGATAGAGCGTCGGCCTGCAAACTGAAGAATCCCAGGTTCAATTCCAGTCAAAGCCATGTACCTTGGTTACAGGCACATCCCCAGTAGGGGGTGTGCAGGAGGCAGCTGATGGATGTTTCTCTCTCATCGATGTTCCTAACTCTCTATCCCTCTCCCTTCCTCTCTGTAAAAATTCAATAAAACATATTTTTTTTTAAAAAAAGGCATTCTAAGTTTCATATTAATGACACTATTGTCAATAGTGAAATATTGTGCTCACTCTGCTTTATAAGATATAAACTCTTTGGTATTAATAAATGATAGTGTGTAGTAAAAATGATTGTTATTTACTAGTGCATTCTTGCTTCTTTTTCAATATTTCAATTGATTGTGCTCATCCAGTCAAACAACCACTTATAATGCCTCTTGCCTCCTCCTATATTCCAATAGGATTGAAATAGCTAAATGCTTAAAATGGTACCGCAGAAGTAATGAATCAATGCTTATAGAGAACCTCCGAAAAAGATTCATCATGAAAACAGAGCTCTGTATTTAGACTCTCGATATTTGTCCAGAAATACAATCTTATCTACTACAGTTTATAGTTATGAACAAATGTCTTCTTGGGTCTCTCCTCTCTGTTTGACTCTAAGGGATCAAGTCCTAAGGAGTAGGATTGTTAGGTGTCTCAGTGTATGACCAGGGAACCAATGCAACATGGAATTCCCTAATACAACTTGAAAACTTTTGAAAACCCATGTATACCATGGCCTGCACACAGGTCACCTGGTCTGTCCCTTCATATCACCTGCCTTGTAGCTTAGTGATGTTCTTCCATGTCCCCATAGCAGAGACAAGCCAATCGCAAAGAGCCCCTGTGCTCCGTTTGAACTTTACCTTCCTACACTTCTCTCTATTCTACCTCTTACCCTTCTATAGCCATTTCAAACTTCCTTCATCTGCTGTTTCTTTGTGGGGAGACCTTGGAAATCTCATGTTGACAGGCTTGTTGGTAGGGAGCCTCTTATACCCCCTGCTGCCCTTAAAATAATCTCTGGTGTCTGAGCCATAGCCCTAATTTGGAACCACTTTTCAGAGGACGTTGCCTACACTAAGCCACAAGTCACAATGTGCACTCTCTAGTAACTGAAGGAAACTTATGTTTTACATTGATAGATATTGAGAACTATTAGAATAAAAGTATTAATTAAAATGTTGTCTTATTATAATATCAAGACTAGGTACATCTTTATTTGTGTTTTGCTCATTTTCTAGTGGGTTTACCTCAAAAGACATGTTTCTAATACTTCTGGGAAAGTAGGAAGGGAAAAGCAATCACCACTTTCTACAATAAAGTGCTACAGATATTATGACCATTAATGCTACACAAAGGATTGAGGAAACAACACTTTGATAACTGCTTAGAGATCCAGAAAGCTATTCTTGTCTCTCCCTTTATCTCCATGAGACTCTAGGGAAGATTTGAAACATTTATGTGATTTTGTTTTCTCATCTTGAAACAAGAGTAACAATGGCCATCTTTCTCACTCCTCAGGGTTGTTGTAAAGGAAAAGGTAAGACACTATTTGCAAAGATCCTTTGTAAAGTCATTCTATATATCATGACTTGCTGGAGAACTCTCTTAAAACCATATGTGGGGTTTCAGAACACCTTATCCATTTCTGCTAACACAGGAGAGCTGGAGAAATTGACCCTCAACGCTATTCAAACTTTGTGATTAGATGACATATGACCTTCCAATAAAGAAATATTTAGCTTTCTCTTCTCTGTAGAAATCACTGTATAAACCAACACTTTATAATCACAGAATTAGTTTTAAAATAAACTCACTACTTCGGTAGCTTATTACTAGTATATAATCAATAGATAGGTGCATTGGTTGATTTATAGGACCTATGGATTTATAGGGCACATATTTTAAAAATATAAATATAATGATTTATTACCTTGCACATCCCAAAACGTTAGGTAAAATAAACATAGAGAATGGGAGTCCAGGATAAACTGGGTCCGTGGTATAGGATGAACTCAGAATTGATACCTCAGGAAACAGTGCCTCTTAGTTGGGGTTCCTGCACCCCAAGCCTTGAGCTCCCACCTCCTTACCTGGCTCCCTTTTCAATGCTGTGGTGGAAGTTTCAGGTGGTCCATCTCCATCAGTTAATTCTGCAAAGTCCTGACTGTCGATCACTGCACAAAGGAGAAAAAAGCACGCAGTGTCTGTGATGGGGCCACGGGGATCATTGAGTGGAAACCCCTTCATGGGAGCAGTAGGAAGACATAGAAGCTAAGTTAAGTCAGGGCCCTCTGGTGTGTGGCCGATGTGTGTGAGCTTCGGGTTGTTCCAGGCCCTACCCGGAAGGTTGTGAAGTTCATGCACAGAGTGCAGCTTTGCTCAACCTGAAGCACACTTCTATGCCCACCCTCACTATACCTGCTATCCCCATGCCCATTCTATTTCAACTCCCATCTTCACTCTGTCTCTTACCTCTACTCTCTGATATCTCCACCCTCATTCTATCTCTTTCTTTCTTTGATTCATTCCAAACATATCTAAATATTTATTAAGCTAGATAGAGGGATCAAAGGGAAGTCTATCTCCTACCTCCATCCTCAGTCTACCTCTAATCCCCACCCTCATTCCACCTCTCTTTCATTCTCATTTTACTTCACCTTCCTCTTGGCTCAGCCCATTTCCCTTAATTATGCCTGTCTTTCTGGGGATGTTATCTCTTTATACCTCTTTTTTTCTTCATGCATTTCTTTCTCATTTCCTCTCAGAAGTATCTTGGCTCTGATTATTTTTTTCTTTTAAAAAATCTTTTGTTTTCTCTTTTCTTCATCTCCTACCACTGTACATTACTCTCTTATTTTAGAAATAGTTTCTCAGACATCAATTCTTATATCTGCAATTTCAGTTTTTTGGCATTTTTTTCAATTCCTAGGAATCCTCTTCTGCTAAAAAATCACTGCTAAGGTGCTGGTTCCCTCTTCTCCTGCCTCCGTCCAAGGTCACCTGAATCTCCTCGGTGGACCCTGGTGACATGTGCCAGACCCTTACACAGTATCTGGGATTCATATCACACATTCTTTCAGTCAGTCTTACCTATTATGTCAGATATTTGGGTTTCCTTTTCAACATTTGTATTAAAAAATGGCTTTTCCTTCTTTATATCTACCAGACGTACAGAACAGGAATTTATTTGGATTCCATGGTTGGGTAGTTCTGCTCCTGAACAAAATTATAATAAATGAAGAATTTTATTTGTCTCCCACAAAGGGAGAGAGCACCCTCACTACAATCAACAAGCCCTTCTCCCTGTAATTCCACTTCAGGGGAAAGCTCCCCCATCTGTTGCTCAACCCTGTCCTTTCTCTGTTCCTCTCTTAAAATCAACAACATATTTTCATTGATTGAGAGAGAGATAGAGAGAGAGAGAGAGAGAGAGAGCGAGAGAGAGAAATGGAGATATATACACATTAATGAGAGAGGAACATCATGGATCAGCTGCCTCCTGCACACACCCCTACTCGGCATGGAGCCCACAACCCTGGCATGTGCCCTGATGGGAAATCAAACCAGCAACCTCTGAGTGCATGTGAGGATGCTCAGCCAACTGAGCCACTCTGGACAGAGTTTCTCTGTTTTCCTTTGGCCCTTGTATTATGAAGCTCATTCAATTTTTTCTTTTACATGTAGCTTATGGATTTGTGTTCATGTCTGTAATTGTATTATATTTTAGCTCTGCTTCTTTCCCAAGGTGGTCTTAGAAATCTGGAATTGAAGACCGCAGATCTCTCATGTATGCTTCCCAGAATGACTTTGTGAAATAAAGTTCCTATCTCCCCCCATCCCCCCTTTTGTAAAAGTGCTTGGAATGTTTACTTGATAAAAATATTGAAATTGTATTGTGTTTGAATGATTGTCCTCTTTAGGTTCATTTGTCACAACCATTAGCCTAACTAATACAAAAGTTAAAATATGAACTATCTTATATTTAAAAATTTGTATTTTACTATAAACGAAGAAGCAAAAATTAGAATGAATCTTTTGTAGAAAATATTGTTCTATTATACCCATGAAAAGTTCTTTTCTGCCTGCTCTTACCTGTTTTGCAAAGTATTTGTCCACGTGTAGGTGATTTTCTGAAATCCACGGACTCTATAAAGTAAAAGGGAGAGAACTGTTTTTGTTTGCAGTGGTCTTACAGAGTCTATGACAACTGACACAGCAGATAGGGTTTGTGATAATGTCAATGTTGAGATGATCGTATTTCTTTTTCTCTCACTTGAACCCAGGGCTGGTGCTCCCCTGAGCACCATAATGCTGGGCTCTTGCCTGGTGCTCCCATACACTTTCCATGGGAATTTGTAAATGACTCAAACATTATCATCTCCTACACTTCAATGATGGGTTAACCTACTTACCCTATCTCCCTGTTAAGGTTTTGTGAAAGGAGTGGAATGTAATTCACAAAAGCATGTGAAAAATTAAAATGTAAGTCAATCGTTTAAGTATCATTTGAGTTTGAAAGTAGTTGGTCTAAACCATTTTTTCCATTAATAATTAATATTAGCACAAAATATACTTGGAAGACATTCAAAGGTTTCTTTCTATTAATGACACTATTGTCAACAGTTAGTGAAATATTGTGCTCACTCTGCTTTATAGAATACTAGTAGCCCGGTGCATGAAATTCTTGCACTGGGGTAGGGGGGGGAGGAAAGGGTCCCCTCAGTCTGGCCTTCACCCTCTCCAATCTGAGACCCCTCAGGGAATGTCCAACTACCTGTTTGTGCCCACACTTTTAACAGATAACAGCTTCATTGTTGTTTCTTTCTTATCCTTAAAACCATTGAAATTAGTAGGTATTCAAAGTGTGTATACATTTTGGGGGGACACCCTGTATATCTCTAGTCAGTGGTGAAAGAAACCAACAGCAGATTTGGAACCCCCAGACAGGGAACCT